CCGGGCGTCCCCCCCCCACCCTTCCAAAGCACTCTCCTTCGGGGTCCCCCACCCCAAGAAATTTAAGATGGGTGGACTTCACCTCCAAGAATCCCCCAGCCAGTATGCTGGCTGGGGAATTCTGGGAGTTGAAGTCCACCCATCTTAAGTTGCTGAGGTTGAGGAACCCTGATGCAGAGTGCTTAGAAGGTGTGAGGGAGACACGCCAGGAAGCAAGAGAGGGCAAGCACCAGACTTGCTGTCCTGGGCTCCAGGGGTTGCGGGGGGCGCTTAGTTTCCCCAGTGTTATGTCTCTAAGCCAGGGGCATCTGCGGGGAGGAGAAAAAAATGTCAAGATGGCTTTACACACATCACATATAAGAAAGTGAAGGGCTTTGATTGCAGTCATGGCCACCATGTTGACTGTTTTGACCGCCATGGATGCCTGGGCTGCAGACAACATCAGTGTTTCACTCCTATATGTCCTGAACATTTGAGACAGCTTTAAAAAATCAGGAAGAGGTTGATCTACTAGTCTCTTCAGGAAAGCAGAAATGATGTATCCCCTCTGGTTTTTTCATACATGTCCTTTAGTAATTCCCCAACCCAACCTTAACAGACCGCTCAACTGAACCCTTGGACAACTTCACAGTACTGTTAAAAAGTTTCCTGGATGAATTTTCTCTGCTTTGCCGGGCTCTCGGCTTGTGGGGCTGCCCCACTGCTCCTCACAGAGGCACAGCCAAGGCAGGAGTTCCTTCACGAAGCTGCTGTGAACAGCCTCTGAGGATTCCCAAGCCCCACAGCTGGAAGAGGTATTGGGGGCTGCCTTCACACCAAAGGCCTTTTCCAGATCCCGTATGTGCCAAAGGAGGCCTCAGAAGCGCTGTGAAGCTCACAATTATGTGTTACTTTTTAGAAGGGGGGCAAGCGTTCATAGTCCTGCTGCAAACACTCCCACCCAAGGAACGCTGCTAGAACAACCACCTTGGAAGATGCACATGGATGCTGCCACTCTGGCTGGGATGTGGGAGTGAGGAAAAGGCTGCAGTGTGTTTCTGGGTTCTCTGAATGAAGCTGTCACCTAACTCAGGGTTCCTCAACCTTGGCAACTTTAAGACGGGTGGACTTCAGCTCCCAAGGTTGAG